ACATATTCATAATGGTCATATGGTATCATGTTTTCAGTTTTAAACATCAACACTTGAAAGCCTTTTTACAAGGATTCATATAACTTTAATTCTTCATGGAAGGAAAATTATACCAGACCAAAAATTTGTATTATTCTTCTCTTTGACAAGTGGCAGATGTAACAAGTACTGTTTTTCTTTCCTTGTATTATATGTATGAAAAGAACAGAATCAGGTTGCCACATTGTAGGAGGTAATATTTTTAAGGATAGCATCTGGTTCTTTAAGTACAGTTTCATTCCATTCACTTGACATTTCTGGATTTGTTGCTCTGTAAGTGTAAAGATCTGTTGTCTTTCATTTAATTCTTAGAACATTTTCAGCAGCCCAAGAAAGAAACCCTCTACTTCTTAATAGTCACTCTCCTTCACTACTAAGATCTGGCTTCTTAAGTTCTAGACAGCTACTAATCTTTCTGTTTCTATAGATTAGCTTATTCTGAACATTTCAGATGCACAGGCTCATATAAAATGTGGCCTCCTGTATCTGTCTTTGTTTGCTTAATGTAATGTTTTCAAGTTTCATCTTGTTGTCTCATGTGTTAGTACTTCATTTCTATTTTATCAGTGAATATTCCATTGTATGGGTATACTACACTGTGTGTGTGTGTGTGTGTGTGTGTGTGTGTGTGTGTGTGTGTTTGTGTGTGTACATTGCTTGATTGATTTCGGTACCAAGAGGGAATTTATATAGTCACATATTACTGCTGAATAGAGAAGTGATCCCAATATCACAATGAAATTATAGTTAAGAAGATTCTTTTAACACAGAATCTTAGATTCATCATACTAAATAAATTGAAATTGAAACTAGAACAGTTAAGATGGTAGTGTAATTTGGGTATGATTTGATGAACCACTGAAATGGTAGCAATGGTAAGAAAGCAAAAACTAATCTGGAATGTATTGAGGAAATAATCTGTAATGATTAATTAAAAGGAAGGGGGGGAAAAAACAGAAGAAAGAACTCCTAAGTTATAACTTAAGTGAGAAACTCATTTTCCTTTAATCTATGAGAGAAATAAGTTGGTTAGGTGGGGAAAAAACAAGAGAGATTTTATTTTAAATAGTATAACTATCTTATTTTTCATTCAAATTGGAATACTGTAAGATTAAAGGAAGGAGCTATTAGTAATTATACCAGTTCAATAGGGAAAGGTGGGACTACCTTGGGCTTATTACTTGGATACAGTGTCAGAATCTATGCTGAATTTCTGGTGACTGAAAATTCAATTGTGTGTCTTGTATAGCAGTTAAAAATACAGAAGCATGGACTGTGGTTGTAGTTCAGTGGTAGAGCACTTGCCTTGCACATGTGAAGCACTGGGTTTGATCCTCAGCACCACATAAAAATAAATAAATTAATTAAAGATATTGTGTCCATGTACAACTAAAAATATTTTTCATAAAATACAGAAGCAGGGCTAGGGTTGTGGCTCAGCAGTAGAGTACTTACCTAGCACATGCAAGGCCCTGGGTTCGATCCTCAACACCACATAAAAATAAATAAATAAAATAAAGGTATTATGTCTTAATATAACTAAAATAAATATTTTAAAAAAATACAGAAGTAGAGCTTGGGGTTAGAAATAAACATTTGGCATATTGAAACCCCAGATTTCTTAGAGAAGGTAATACAGAAAATAAAAATAACAGAAAATTAAAACTGAGCCTGTTTGCAGAATTAAAAAATAGCTGAAGTTATCCAGTTCCTCTTTTCTAAGAGTCTGTTATTTATGCTAAATTTGCCCCTCTTTTGGGCCTTATTGTTAAGGTAAGTGAATAAATTTCCGAATTTTATGGCTCTTGAGGTTTTCAGAGTTAAATACCTTCATTTGATATTCTGGTAAAAGACCTATTTCTTTTTCTCATAAAAGCTGTCTACATACATTTAAAAGTCTGAATTCTAAATGGTGGGTCTGTAGTTCTCAACTTAAGATACCCTGAATAATAGAATTTGCATATTTTACTACACCATTTAGAAATATTTAGCATACTTAGTAAAATTTCTAAATATTTCAGCATATTCCCTCAATGATTTAGTCATTCTTTTATATAATTATGTACTTTCATACTTATGAGGTATTAGCATTTAAAAACATACTTCCGAAGAAAACATTGCTAAAAAAAACCAACAGTTTAGATGTAAAGGTAATATTTTGGATATAAACCTTATTGTAAGTTAAGGTCACACTATTTTAAAATTCCACAATAAAATTTATTGTATTTTACAATAAAATATACTATCTATTCCTTAGTCTAGCCCTTCTTTGGTAACAGCCACAATTAGGAGGACAAAAAGGAATTATTGAAATATACATAAAGAATGGTCTTTAAATTTAGCAGTTTGTTACAGGAATTTCAGGATACTTTTATTGGACTGGGGACGGAGGTAAGTGGTTAGAGCACTTGCTTCACACATGGAAAGCCCTAAGTTCTCTCTCCAGCACCATCAAAAATAAATAAATAAAAATTTGAAAATACATTTTTATCTGAGTATCATACCAGTATAATTTTAGTGTGCTGTGTCAATATACATTAACTCATGCTTCACTAACAGATGTAAATTTAGGAACTTGTTTCTCTTACCTGCTATGTATTTGTTGCTGGTTGGTAGAGGAGATTGTACTTATCATTGTTAGATCTGATGATACCACAATAATCTGGTGCATTATTTGTCACTGTGCCAGAGGGGAAATGATAGCTTTTCACACCAGCAAGTAAATATGCAGCCAGGAAGTGAGTGACATGTCACTTTCCTCTCAATTTATTAGGGGGCCAGAAAAGCACAATCCTACCATGTGCTTGCAAAGCAGAAAATTAAACACATTTGGCATAGAGTGTTTTAATTACTATTGTCCTAGTGATTTCTTTTTTCCCCCTTCACTTTCCCAAACATCAACTATTTTATCACTTTACATTAGTCAACTAAGGGAAAGAACTAGTATAGTTCTGTAGTATCACATAACATATATTAAATGATTAAGCATTATAACATTAAAAATGCTTATAAAAATTTATTTAAAAACTTATGAAATTGATATGTTATTCTCTCTCAGGGCTCAGCTGATCCTCTAAATAGTGCTTTCCATTTGACTTACAACATGGTTTTAAACTTACTACGTGTAGAAGAAATTAATCCTGAGTATATGTTGGAAAAATCCTTCTACCAGTTTCAGCATTATAGAGCAATTCCAGGAGTAGTAGAAAGTAAGTATAAAATGACTGTAACAGAGAAAGTAAGTATAAAATTACTGTAATAACAAAATGACTGCATTGCTGACTGCATTTGGCCACTTTTTTTTTTTTTTTTTCTAGTAAGGCAAAGCTTGGTCTCTGTATAAAAAAGACTGCAGAACTAAATTCTGGTCTTTTTATAGAGAGGAACATTTGGCAATACATTTTTTTCTAGTTGGTTCCACCATAGTACAATTTATTGGTTTAGATACAGATATATGTATCACATTATTCATGTTTTGGAATAATAGTACAACTAAAAGCTTGACATATTAAAATTTGATTTGTAAGAAACATGTATATTTTAGTCTTAACCTTTTATTACTTCTCATTATGAGAGTGTCACAGCATAAGCTTATGAATGATTATTGAAATATAATGCTTTAATGTGGATTCATTTCACTGCCTTTTAGAACTTCTAATTCCTGATATTAAGATAATGATTTTTAAAGTCCCAAACTAAATTTTCTATGGTAACTACATTCAAATTGTTCATTGATCTTTATAGAGGGTAGTGTGGCAGATCATCATATAGTGCTGATTTAAAAGTAAATAAAGGCAAAAGTTTAAGTTACTGGTTTACATAAATATTATAAAAATAGTTCACAGTTATTGCAAAAAAAGAAAAGTGCAGTAAACAGAAAAGCTAAAACCATTTATAATCTCACACAGGTGGCTGTACAACTACTGTTAACAGTTTTATTTCTTCTATCCTTTCTCATGCTTGTGCTTTTCTTTTTTAATAAGGTAAATACAGTTGAGCTTTTTTCATAATAGTTACTATTGTGCTTGTAATTTATATCATTGCTTATTGTTTATATCATATGTTAAATATTTACCCTATGCCTAGCCTGTATTAAATGTTTTACATTTACTAGCTTGTTAATTGTAGCTTTTTAAAATTGAAGTTCAAGGGACTGGGGTTGTGGCTCAATGGTAGAGAGCTCACCTAGCATGCACGAGGCACTGGGTTCTATTCTCAGCATCACATAAAAATAAAGATATTGTGTCCACCTAAAACTTAAGAATAAATATTTTTAAAAGTAATAAAATAAAATTGAAGTTTAAGTTCCTTTGAAAAAATCGTGATTTTTTGTTGTTGATGGGTGTGGTGGTGCACACCTGTAATTCCAGCACCTCAGGAGGCTGAGTCAGGAAGATCACAAGTACAAAGCCAGCCTCAACAAAAGCAAGGTACTAAGCAACTCAGTGAGGCCCTGTCTCTCGTTAAAATACAAAATAGGGCTAGGGATGTAGCTCAGTGGTTGAGTGCCCCTGAATTCAATGCCCAGTACCCCATTCCCCCAAAAGAAAAATGTGATTTTTAAAATAAGTGCATAATATTTTATTTTGTGAATATACCATTATTTATTTAACAATGAGATTTCTTTCTGTCTCTAGTATGTAGGTCAGTTCTAATCTGTTTTTTTTTTTTAAAGTGGGGACTTACAACATGACTTACAACGTGGTTTTAACTTACTATGTGTAAGTAGAGACCCACTCACCCACTCTTTTTTTTTTTTTTAATTTGTTGTTGTTGTAGTAGATGGACAGCATGCCTTTATTTTATTTGGTTTTTTCATCTGATGCTGAGGATTGAACCTAGTGCCTCACATGCCTCACGCACTCATTTTTATTGTCGCCAAATTAAATGAAGTATAATGTGCCCTAGAGGAATGGAAAAGGCTTAGGAGATCCAAGAAAGTTAAAGTCTGTCTCGGTGGCTTGCTTCAACAGCACATATACAAAAATTGGAACGATACAGAGAAGATAAGCATGGCCCCTGGGCAAGGATGACATGCAAATTCGTGAAGCAGTTCATATTTTAAAAACAAAAATTTTCTCTCGTTGTTTTTAACCTTTGCCTAGATGATAACCATAACTATTTCCCCTTAATACCTCTGGTGTTAGATAAAATCTTTTCAACATATAACTAGAAGGAGCTTTGGCATCATTTTACAGATTTAAAAATGGGTGTGGGTTAGAGCTAGAGAAATTAAGTCAGTGTCTTAAGTTATACATTTGATTTATGGCAGAATCAAGATTAGAATCTTGGACTCCTGCTACCAACCAATCTTTTTAATAAGAGAACAAGAGTATCTCTAGTAACTTCCTTAACTGACATAAAATAAGGATGACAAAAGAATAAAAAACTTGAGCTAGGTGGTTTTTAGGACTCACCTTTAAATTTTCAGAAAGTTGTTGAATTTTTAAAGCACATCTATAAAATCAATGGCAAATATATAATTTCAGATGTTTTTATTATTTTCTTATAAAAATATATAATTCCATTTGTTGATAGCAAAGAGAAAGTATATTTTCAGTTTTAGAGAACTGTATTTTCTTTTTATATATTTTTTTTAGTTGTTGATAGACCTTTATTTTATTCATTATTTATACATGGTGCTAAGAATCGAACCCAGTGCCTCACACATGTCAGGCAAGGGTACTACCGCTGAGCCACAATCCCAGCCCTAGAGAACTGTATTTTTAAGGGAGCTGTAAGTCTCCTCCCACCAAGAATTATGTAATAATAAAATAACAAGATCAAGAAGATTTAAGTATACTTTGGATTTGAGTTTGAATCAAATTTAAGTACACTTTGGATTTGGGTTTGAAATCAGATTAGCATGAGAGAAGGAAATTCATGAATTTTAGTTCATATCATAGAAATTTCAGATATTTTCATTGAAACGGGTATATGGTTATAATAGTTAAAAAGAATTAAAGTCTTACTAGGCAGCACTAAGTTACGCAAAGTAGGATAATTACATTTATATGTACCCAGTGGTTAGACTGGTTTATAAACTGAATAACCAAGAGAAACAGAGATGTGTGTTGGTATACTTACATTTGCTCCCCCCCCTTCATGTAGTCCAACAGTCTACTTTTTATACTTATTTTGCATTTCCATAGAAAGTATCATAAGTACATTGGGATGTAGAGGGAAAACTTCACAAATATTTTCTTATTTATTTAAAGCCCTTCTATGACTCTAGCTGAGTTCACATTGTTCATTATGACTTTGACCAAGACTCTGTTACTTACTCTGTAAATTTAAAATATAACCCCTATTTCTCCATTCCCTATCCTCTATTTTCTCAGACCTCAGCTTTTGTTTTGTTTCATTTTGATGTAATTCGTGATGTTTACCCTTCCTAGTGTTGCTTCTGTACATGCATATCTTTTTGCAGTATACTCAATCCCTACATATGTTTTTAAAGAAATGATGCCGTTTTTCTAATACTTTGAAACCTGAAATGTAGACTGTTATTTTTAAAGATACAGAATAAATCTTTATTTAGTAATACAGTGCTTTATTTATTGTTATACATCTTTTCATACAAGAGATACTTTTAATTTGGTTTACTGAATTATAGTAAAACTAGGATTTCACTGTTATTTTATTGACTAAAAAATGCAGACCTAATTTAATCCTTTTGTTTAGCTTCACTAATTGATTATACCATGGCTAATAGCAGAGCTGTGGAATTAGACATGGGTTTGAGCCTTAATTATTTGTTCTGTGATATTGGGATAATATCCAATGCATCTCATGAAAATTAAATGAAATAATGTTACATGCTTAGTAAGTGCTTGTTGTAATTACTGAGAGTATTACTTTAGATCAGTAAAGCAATTTACACTTGAATCTGTTGAAAATTTTGCATAGTATTGGGAGGGGCAGTTTGTTTCTCTGTCACTCACAGGTCTTTTCTACATATTTGGTTGCAAACTGTCTTAAGAGTTTATAGGTGTGTTTTAAATGTTACTTCCTAAAATACTGGGGTTCAAGTACTCATAGGATCTTCTACTTTTTACCCTTCATTGAAACCAGCTTTGTATGCTGACGTACTTTTACTCTGAATGTGATAGGAGATTTATAGTTGCCCTACCCACCCACTCCTACCACCATCCACAGTTGAACATTGCTTAGTCAGCCACCCATGATCAGCTGTAGGTAAAAATACTAAATGGTCCAGAAATAAAATAATTCATAAGTTTTAAATTGCACTCCATTCTGAGTGCCATCATGAAATCTTGTACCATCTTACTCTGTCCGCCCTGGGACATGAATCATCCTATCATCGTTGCTGTATATACTGTCCACTTATTAGTCACTTCATAGCTGTCTGAATTATCATATCTATTATTATTGTATCACAGAGTGTTGAAGAAATAGCACAAAGGTAGTGATGCTGTAAGTTCAGACATGCTAAAAAGAAGGAGGTCATAAATTGCTTCCTTTCAGTATCATCTTACATTATCACAAAAAGAAGAATGTAGTACAGTAAGGTATTTTGAGATAGAGACCACATTCAGATGGCTTTTATTATAGTATATTGTTTATTCTATTTTATTATTATTCTTAATCTTGTACTGTGTTTGATTCATATATTAAACTTTATCATAGGTTTGTATGTTTAAGTTAAAACATGGGATTTGGTACTATCCATAGTTTCAGGCATCTACTGGGGTTCTTGTAACATTACCTCATGGATAAGAGAGCACAACTTTTTTGTTCTTTCTTTAGCTTTTGAGAAGAGATTAGAGAAATTGAATTCTTTCAATTTGGAGAAAAATCAGGGCTTGCCTATACTTACTGACTTTCTGGGGTGGTATAAAACTGTAGTAAGTCTTGGATACAAAATAATGTGACTTTTAAAAGTATCTTTAAATATCTTATCTCATTAGTTAAATGATCTAATATAGAAGTGATTTGGAGTAGAGGAAGTAGGTAATAGGGAAGCATGCAAGCAGATAATTTATTATCTCCTTAAACTCTTTCTGTTAATGCTGTGTTCCAATGAGTGCTTCATAGTGTTACTTTGTAAATTTAGGTGGAAGAGCTGGATTATCATTTCATTGTCCAGTTTTTATTTTCATATAACTTCTTAATGACTTCTGTTTGTTAAGTTTATCTTTTTGTAGGTTTTTAGTTTTTTTCTTTTTCTGATAATTTACTGCCATATTATGTGTTGTTATGGACAGCGTTCTAGCCTTTAATGAATTAAATACAATTCCTGTAAGCAGTGATGCATTTCTTTTAAAAGTAACCAGAGCTGGGTGTGCTGGTGCATCCCTGTAATTGCAGCTATTGAGAAGGCTGAGGCAGGAAGATCACAAATTCCAGGCCAGCCTGAGCAACTTAGCAAGACCCTGCCTTAAAAATAAATAATAAAATTGCTAGGGATATAGTTTAATAGAGTGCCACTGAATTCAGTACCCCAATATTGCACCCCCTCCCAATAAAAAAGATCCAGTCATTTAAAAATAACCAAGGTAATGCTTTATACTCAAGGGAATACAAAAGACTAGCTATTTGAGAGAACACTTTGTGAAATGGTTGATAATAGTATTAAAATTAGCATGTGTGAGACCCTGAGTTCAATCCCTAGTACTGCCAAGAGAAAAAAAGAAAATGGGAGAAAATATTTGCAAGTTATCCATCTGGATAATCTGTCTAGTATCCAAAATATATCAAGTACTGTTACAACTCAGCAACAAAAGGCAACTCAATTACACATTTTTCTAACTTATGTAGAAACTGCCAAGAAACACAGGTGCCCAACATCATTAGTCATAAAGGAAATGTAAATCAAAACCACTTCAGTCACTGAGGTGAGTTTTTTTTTTTTTTAAGTAACTATACCATTTCCTTAATGCTATAGTTACTGTGGACAATAGTTTGGCAGCCATCCTCAACAAATTAAATACAGAATTACTTTGTGACCCAGGAACTCCACACCTGAATATATATTCAAAAGAATTGAAAATATGTTCATATAAAACTTGGTCTCATATGAATGGTCATAGCAGTACCATGAACAGTAGCAAATATGTGGAAACAATCCAAATGTTCATCAGCTGGTAAATGTGTAAACAAATGTAGTATATTCATATAGTAGAATATTATTCAAACATAAGTCATGAAATACAGGTACAAACTACATCCTGGATAGACCTTGAAAGCAATATGCTAAGTAAAGGAAGCCAGACACCAAAGGCCACATATTGTATGATTCCATCTATATGAAATATGTAGAATAGGCAAATGCATAGAGAGAAAGTATAGAGAGAAAGGTTGGCAGAAGCAGGAATAAGGAGTATTTGCCTAAAGGATATGGAATTTCCTTTGGAGGTAGTGAAAAAGTTCTGGAACTAGATAATAGTGGTAGTTGGGTACATTGTGAATGTACTGAATATTACTAATGGTACAATTTCATGTATATTATGCCATAATAAAAATAGTTTGTTAACAGTGGGTTGGAGGTATAATGAAATGAGTAAAGAAAGGCGGTCAGCACTAGAATCAAGATAAGGGCAGCAAGAAGAATCCAGTATAATTTGATTAACTAAGAGATAAGTTGGAGACAAAGAAGGTAAATCTTAACAGAAGGGGGAAAAACGAGACATCATGCCCTACAGTCATCTCTGAAGATCTTTTCCTTAAAACATCCAATATAATCTATGCAAACTAACTTTTCCAAATGTAGTTCTAGTGGGAAAATAAATTTCTTGGTTATAATTTATGTAAGGTATATAATTTTTTATATCATGTATGTGTTTTATTTACAGAGGTAAAGAACTCAGAACAACAGTATAATAAAATAGTAATTCCCAATGAAGAAAGTGTAGTAATCTATTATAAGATTAGACAGCAACTTGCCAAACTGGGTAAAGAGATTGAAGATTATATTCATAAACCAAAATACTGCTTACCATTTCTACAGCCAGGCCGTTTGGTAAAGGTATGTCTTTGTTCCTTCATAAAATATTTAACTACTTGAATATTTAAAAATATTCGGATATTGTAATATTTTCTTT